CAGACCCCGGGCTCACGAGGCGCGCCTCGCGACATCCTTACCCTAATGATGAACACCGAGGACTGGAGGAGCTAGTCTTTAAATAATTAACCTAAAAAGGTGCACCTGGGGAGCTTAATCACAGGAACAATAACAGGAGTAGCAGCTATTCTCCTCATCAGTGAGACTTCGACATACATCCACTGTTCTTCTTTCCTGATGCTATTTTCTCATTTGGCATATACCATCATGAGTTTATAATAATAATAATAATAATAATAATAATAATAATAATTACTTACACTTTTATAGCACTTTTCTGGGCGCTTTACAGGTAATGGGGACTCCCCTCCACCACCACCAATGTGCAGCATCCTCCTGGATGATGCAACCGCAGCCATAGTGCGCCAGAACGCTCACCTCACATCAGTGGGGAGGAGAGGAGAGTAATGTAGCCAATTCATAGATGAGGATTATTAGGAGGCCATGATTGGTAAGGGCCAATTGGAAATTTGGCCAGGACGCTGGGGTTACACCCCTACTCTTTTCGAGAAGCACCCTGGGATTTTTAATGACCACAGAGAGTCAGGACCTCGGTTTTACGTCTCATCCGAAGGATGGCGCCTGTTTACAGTATAGTGTCCCCGTCACTATACTGGGGCATTAGGACCCACATGGACCACAGGGTGAGCGCCCCCTGCTGGCCCCACTAACACCTCTTCCAGCAGCAACCTTAGTTTTTCCCAGGAGGTCTCCTATCCAGGTACTGACCAGGCTCACACCTGCTGAGCTTCAGTGGGTTGCCAGTTGTGAGTTGCAGGGTGATATGGCTGCTGGCTCCTAGATCAGCAGCAGCAGCCTGGTAGAGATAGGGTGTTGGATGCATGTGGCATACTTGCCCCTGCTATATTTGTAATTATTCCTGAATTCTTAACACTTACACTTAACACTATTTAACCTTAATCTAATCCATTCCATTCACATTCCAATGCAAAAAAACTAAAGCATATATTTTCATCAACATTTTAGGTGACAACTGAAGAAGGCTCCACGGCCGAAAGGCTCCACGGCCGAAACGTTGTGTTCTCTTTCTTCTTTTTTTCAGCATGGAATAAACCTATTACTTGTTCCTTTGCAGCCTACGCATGCTGACGCAGCTACCCACCTGAACTACTACCGTCAACATAATAATGCCTACCTCCATCCTCAACACTCCCTTCCCACCCTCAAGCTACTCATTGCATATCCTCTCAGTCATCCACTGCTCCATCCTTCTCCTCCTTCCAACCCTTCTCTGATGTCTGATATTGACATATCCTTACACTTAGGCCATAAGCATGCCACATGCATCCAAGACCCTATCTCTACCAGCCTGCTGCTGCTGATCTCCTCCCACCTCAGCATTTCCCTTCTCTAAGGTTGTTAAACCTTTTCTAGGGAATATATGCATGTATCACCGCCTCAGAAAACATCCTTCTCAGAATTATCATCCCATCTCCTTTCCCCCTTTCCACCTTTCTAAAATTCCCAGACAGACTTCACATTGCCTGATTCTTTACGTACCTCACTCAGTATTTGCTGCTTAAACTCCCACCAGTCTGACTTTTGCTCTCTACTGAAATTGCTTTTGTCTCCTTTCCCAAAGTCTTTGACTACATTATACTGCCTCCCTCTTATCTGTTCTCATCACCTTTGGTCTCCTTTCTTCTGTCTTTGAGATTGTGAATCACATTACCCTGTCAACACTTGCTGACCTGACAATCTCTGTCACCTCTGACGCCTTGCTAATCCTATTTACCATCATGGTAAGATCCAGCCATGGTTCACTCTGTGTGTCTTATTCACTTTCCACTGGTGTCCCCCAAGGCCCTGTGTTGGATTTTCTGGTATTCTCTCTTTACATCTGCTCCCTAAGACCTCTGATCTCCTTCCATGGCTTTTTAAGCACCCTTTATGGAGAGGATGCTTCAATCTTCTTTCTTTTCCTCCCTCTGATCACCTTGTCTCCTCTTATATTAATGCCTTTCTTTCAGCCATCTTGTTCTGGGTGAACTCTCAAATCATCTCAAACTGAACCTTTCTACGTGAATTCTTACCCTTTCTTCTTTCGTTTCTGTTTATCTCTCCATCTGTTTCTTTTGATTCCACTCTCCCACTACTTCTCTTATGAGACCCTTTCTGTTACTCTTTCCTATTCCCATTAAATTTCTGGCTTGGCATACTGCTGCTACTTATTTCTCAAGTTATTCCTGAAGGAAAAAAATCCTTTCTCACAACTTTTTCTATACAACTTCTGATTCAGACCTCAGTACTCTCCTGCCTGGCGTACTGCAACTCTCTTTTAGATAACCAGCTGGCCAGCACTGTCTGCCTTTTCCGACCCATTCAGAACTGTGCTTCTCACATGCTTATGCCTCACCTCCTACCTCTCATGTCATGCCACTACTCCAGTATCTCCCTGTAACTGCACAATTTTTTATCAAAACACTCCTTGATAACCATTGTCTTCGCCAGACTGTCACTTCTCATCTCTCTCTACACAGCCCCCTCGCCCAACATCTCTCTTCCTCCTTCAGACGGTGTGTTCCTGCTCTCCATGTCCCCACCTCCAGGTCCCATTCATTCCAGGCTCCACAGCGATGGAATGAACATTTAAATCAGAACTGCTCATTCCCAGACAGCTTTTAGCATCTCTTCCAAAATCATCTAATTGTGACGTTTCTCACATTGTCATGAGTTTTTATTACCATATGATACTGGACTTCACTCAACTCTGCTCCTTCGTTATTGCAGAGGATCTCAGATCTGTCCTGGGGAATGGCTGTGTCTATTGGTTTTTGCTCTATCCTAGTTGTTAATTGCAGATTAATTTCTATTTTACTAAAAAATTTTAGGTGCATCACTAACATTTCTTTCAGCTTTTAAAAAGTTTGATGAGGCTTACAATCGGTTTTTGGCCATTTTTCAAAATTCTCTTTATTGAGGTGTGTTGACAGAGATGTAACCAATTAAACTTCATCTGAGTAAAAAAATTAAAACTTATTGTGAGAGTGTCTGATATATTGTCATTCCAAGTTGTATCTATTCATCATAAATTGATTGCGTATTAATAACTATTCAGTCAGTAGTATGTAGTATTGTACTAGTAGTAGTAATTTCTTCAACGAGTTGATGAGGATTGTCATGAGTCACAATACACTATACAATAGCAGCCATCTTGCAAGTCCTCTAGGTAACTACCTAAACCTAGCAATTTAAAAGATGCTAGGACCCTTCTCCCCACACACTTTCTTGGATTCCCCAGAACCACCAGCATACCCAAAGACTAGCCCAAGACACTAAATCACGTAGTAGCCATTTTTATTCCTTAAGCAATTAGAATAAAGTAAAACTCCTCAATACAAAAGAACACAAGAAAAAAAATATCCACAATGGACACACACAAAAAAAATGAATGCCCAGACAAAAGCACCCCAAAAAATCCAACAGCATTACTCTTCTGAATCAGTTCTGTCTGGTATCCTTATACCAGGGAGAAAAATACTGCACCCACACCTCCAGCTCCTCAGCATGCACTGACTATGGCTTTGTGCCCATAACTCTTGGACATATGAGGGGTAGGAAATTTCTGGCTGATCCTTGGCGGGGGTGTTGGGGAACGAGGGGCTGTGATGAGAATACATGAACAAGTGGGGGCTTCTTGAAAAACTGACTGCATGCTAATGACCACCATTTCCCATTGGTCTTTACCAATCATGGCCTCCTAATAATCCCCATGTATGAATTGGTTTCATCACTCTGTTCTCATCCGCATTGATAGCTGGTGTGTGGTGAGCATACTGGCGCACTAGGACTGCCATTGCATCATATGCACACTAGCAGCAATATCACCCTGAAACTGATGAATGACAACCCACTGAAGCTCAGCAGGTGTGAGCCTGGCCAGTACCTGGATGGGAATTGATTCCTGGGAAAAACTAAGGTTGTTGCTAGAAGAGGTGTTAGTGGGGCCAGCAGGGGGTGCTCACCCTGCAGTCCGTGTGGGTCCTCATGCCCCAGTATAGTGACGGGGACACTATACTGCAAAAAGGCGCTGACCTTTGGATGAGACGTAAAAATGGAGGCCCTGACTGTCAGTGGTCATCAAAAACCCCAGGGTGTTTCTGAATAAGAGTAGGGGTGTTCCCTGGTGTCCTGGCCAAATTACCCATTGTACCTTACTTAATTGTGACATCCTAATAATCCCCATCTATGAATTGGCTTCATCACCTCTCCACACTGATAGCTGGTGTGTGGTGAGAGTACTGGGGCACTATGGCTGCCATCGCATCATCCAGGTGGGGGCAGGTGGTGGAGGGGAGTCCCCATTACCTGTAAAGTGCTTTGAGTGGAGTGTCAAAAAAAGTGCCATGTAAGTGTAAGAAATTATTACTATTTACCTAGGATATGTTTAAACCAAAGACTGAGGCCAGAAAAAAGTGTAAACAAACAGATCAATTGTATCAAGTTGCACTGTGACTAATGACTCAGTTTAAACAACATCCATCAGACACAGTGGTCCCCAAGGGTCAGGATTGAGAACTGTTTCACTGTAATCTATGATTCTGTATCTACATGTTTTTTTACCACTCAATGAACACTGTTTTCATTTGATCTGCACAGACATTGCATTTCTAACATGTTTGTTGCAGTGTTATTATTATTTTTCTTATTTTTGTATGTATTTGATTTTGATTTTGTTTGTATTTATTCCATAATTTAGTGTCTTGTACATCACCCTGCAGAAATACGCCTGCTATGCAAATAAATAGAAAAAAGGTGGGAGAAACATGGTGACTGTAAATTCCGTTTTTAGCAAACTGGCTCCCTCTAGCTAGAAGTGGTGTGTATTTTGTTTTTCTAACTGTACAGCAAATATTCACAAAACAACCTGTTTATCAGCACAACAAAAATCACTGAAATAATTTCACTTCACCGTGGACACTGGTTCTGACCATTTTTTAAATTCATGGAACCTTCAGTTGAGCAAAAGGGCAAAAGTTTATTTCATCCTGATTTTTAGTTTGAGTACACACCATGAAAAACAGAGCTTTGTGATCCTTCTGGCTTTTAAGATTTTAAGCTGCAGGTGTCAGAAAAATGACTAAATGGGTAAATGACTAGTGGCATGCAAACATACAAGCAACATTACTTCATAATCCTTCATTGTTGGCTCTTCTTAAAATAAAATAAAGCAGAAACATCACTGAGTGCTGGTTTGTTCACTATCTAGAAGGGGACATGACCATCACGAGACTGATTCGTTTTAGTTGCTTTTTTGCTTGTAGTTCACTCATTTGGTGTATATACAAGCATCTGTGAGATTGTGTTTAAATGTCTCTAAATTAGAATCTCCCCTAAAACCATTCAGTGCTTTCATGGTCTGTTGTTTGTCAACTCTCATTTCCTTCATTCCATTGAGCTGTTGGTCCTTGTTCTTCAGTTCCTTTCCCACTCTCTTAAACTGTATCACACAGGAGATTGGGGACACAAGAAATACAAAAAGAAATACAAAGTGAAAGAGCAGGAAAACAAAGATAATACTGTCAAGCAATTCAGCACTTGGCCTCCTCTATGATTCAATTTATTGTACATGTTTTCTTGCTCAGCCAAGTGTTACTTTTCCAAGTTATCATAACAGCCTGTAATTATCTAAATGATACATTCATAAGACAAACAATTTTAAAAATATAAGAAAAAGCATAATAATTGAGAAAATGTAATTGAAAAAATAGTTTTTTTCTACATACAAATGATCGTGTGCTTCTTGTGATCATTATAAAAGACATAAAGCTAAATTACACAAATATGAAAATGAAATGAGCACATCTCCTGACTGGCGGACCTCTACATAAGACATTGCTTTCAACAGTCATTCCCCTCCCACCCATTTGACTTTCAACATTGTACAAAAAATGATTTACAATGACATAAAATTTAGGCATCATTAAATTGGTAAGGTGATAAAACATACTTACTGAACAAAAACCTTAAAAAGCATGATCAATATTTTCAAGAAAAAATCATTATTAGATTACAGTAAACAAAATGCAGTTCCTATTATAGATCATACTATAACACTGAAGGATTGTACAGCCTACAATATTTTTATTTTTTAAAATTAGCATTGATTTTACAAATGTACTGTATAAACTGGTAGTAACATTAATAGAATAGAAATAACATGGGGATTTACATTTAAATCAGTGACAAATTAATATTCATAAAGAAAGAGAAATTATGTTATTTTAGGGTTCAGTTGAAATTGATTATGGAATAACTGTGATACTCTTCACAGTGTAGTATTACACCAGGACATTACATCAGGGCAGTTCATTTTTAACTTAATCAATGTGCTACTGATGTATAAGAGCAAATACTGAGGGATCAGTATTGATCAGCGTTGATGGTATTCTCTTCAAAGTTTAGCTAGTACTGAAAATATTTTTTTTATTGGGCTCAAAAACTTATGTACTGCTCAGTGGGCATGCTCATAACTGATTTTGGGTGGGTAATAAAAGATGACAGCTATGCTATGCACTTAAGCAACTGTGTCTTTTGTAGAATTTGTAATCAAATAATGTATGCACTTTCATTAATATACTGGATTTGACTAGAAAGCTGCAATGTGGTGCAGAGTGATCATATATATAAGAAATTGTTCCATTGTTCAGCACTGAAAGTTTCCTCCAATTTACGTAGAGAAAATATTGTACCCATTAGGATTGTCATATGTTTTACAGATTTGCAACCTGACATGTTATTAGTTTAATCTACAGTAAGTCCTAATGAAAGATCTCAGCCCCTACTTTTTCCCTTAACTGAGCTAACTAGGAGAAACTAGGAGTTCACCTTTCCACATCCCCTGCACTTGTTTAACTCATACATCATTTTGTTTCAATAGACAGAGAACTGGTTACTATAAACCCTTGGATATTTAAAGACTGGTTTTGATTCAAGAAGGATATCATGGCAAAACTATGAAATTTTCATAGATATCTAGAGAGAATCAAGCTCTATGTCTCTGGCTTTAAGCGCATCCAAGATTTTCTGGAGACCTTTGCACCATTTTGGAAAATATCTTGGACCCCCAGCAAATAGTGCTGGGTACTTGTGAGTAGCAAGACCAGGACACAGCATGCATTTGGCAATGGTTTGAAATAATCACATCCCAGTCCCATTCGCTACTCATGCAGTAGTGATAGCTTTAACCTCCAGAAATCTATTTTCTCCCCTTTACAAATTCTTGATTGTGTTCATAGCACTCGCTGCCCTTCCCAGAGGCTCAACCTAATGTGATGACATTCCAGCAGGATGACATACAGTATGTCCTCATGCAGCTAATGTAAGCGCAGGTCTGATGCAAGACTGGAATGTGATAGTTATGCCATGGATACCCTTTGCGCCAGACTTAAGCACCATCAGACATGTGTTCATCGAGCAGGCATGCTTGTCCAGGATTTACAAGAGATGTAAGAAAAAATTCCAAAAGACAGAATTTGCAACCCGGTGCAAAGCAGTTGCGGATACATACTTCCAGCAATAAATTACTTCCAGCAGTGGCCAGGCATACCCCTAGACTGTGACTTTCACAGCAGACCCCTCTTGATGACAAATGTTAACCAGCATAATTAAATTCACCCATGTCATTTCTGTGGGATAAAATGTCATTGCACCTGTTACAACAATTTGAATTTTCCTGTAGTTGTGATAACTTTCTTTTGATGCTAGATTTGGCCAGTGACTATAACAAGACAACTAAGGATGGGATTAAGAATTAATTATAAGTAATACAATATAATATCAGTTTATTATAGGAAAAACTGCAAGCCTTTAGGAGAGGCTATTTGACTGAGCATTCAACAAAATTACTGTAATTAGCTATTGACTGCACTGGCTCTGTAGTTTGGTATTTACATAGCTACACAGTTCCAGTGTAGGGGAATATTCCAGCATTATGTTTTTCATTTTGCTTGAGAATCATGTACAGACAACTAATTTTTCAGGAAGGATGAATCAATACTGTTACCATTTTTTTTAAATCTAAAACAAGAAACCTAATTCTTACATTTTAATGTAGTCATCTGGGAAAATTTTCTATAAATCATTTCAATAGGTAAAACAAAGTTAGTAACAACATTCTAAATATTTTGATGTCCATTGTGCTCCTCAGTCCACCATGCAACATTCAACCACTTCATGAAGCATTCTTTAGTCTTAGACATGGGCACCATTACTTCTCTTCCATTATAGATGCAGAGTTTCAGACACACCTTGCAGATGTAACGTGGTAATTCCACAGACAAAGAGACACTCACAAAGGTTTGCAAGGGTCTTTCCATTATCATGCTTGTGAAACATTTATTACAGGCAAAAAAAGAGAAAACATTGTTTTAACATCATTCATTATTTTAACGTAGATATTTTCAACTCCTGACTTCAAGGGGCATCATCCGATAGGTTATTTGGAATCTCCTTAAGAACCAAATTTGCAGATTAGTTGCAATGTTCCACTTAAGCCTTGATTAGTCATATTTCTTTTTTTTTCCTGTCTGAGAAGGACTTTAAAAATCCTGGGTATCAGGACTCAAGGACCTGACCTGAGTTAGAAAACTCGTTAATCAACTGAAGCACAGCCCCTTCTACCTCTTCCTCCCAACTAACTGCTCACTAACGCCTCCTTGCTGGTCAGCTTGCCCTGGTCTTGCAGGAATCTCATAATCCCTTTCCTCTTCCTCCAGGTCACCTTCACCCCATAATCTTGCTCTGGGGTGTCCTTCACCAGAGTTTCTGCTTGGGACTCTGTGTCTGTTGGGGTTGGGGCAAAAAAGATGAGCCGCCCTGCAAGGTCACTGGCAAAGTTTTGAGATTCACAGCTCCTCCTGCCCCCACTGTCTGCTCCCGGGGTATGAAGGGAAGGTGGGGTGGAGGCACTCTCCATGTCAGAGTCTCTACAAGCTCGAGGTGTCCCCTCAAGGTCTCTTTCCATCTCAGGCACTGGGGTCCTCCGAACCTCACAAACATCACTGCTGAGTTTGCGTGGGTTCTTTTGAACCCCATTCAGAGATTCAAACCCTCTATTTACTTCTAAAGCCTCGTTTTTCTCAGGAAGGCCAGTCTGGCAAGAGCCCTTTCCTGCGGAGACTGCAAGCAAAGGCTGCTGCGGTTGGCAGGGTGCCTCAAAACTGCACTCAAAAGTTAATGAGGGGAACTTGCAGACGCTGGTTTTCTTGGCCCGCACTAGCGAGCTCCTCCCCAGCACACTCCTCTGGTGCGTGAAGCTGCCTGACTGCTGTCTTTTCCTCCGCCGCGCCGGGAAGTGCAACTGCATGGTGGTGTCAAACTGAGAAGTCACCTGCCAGTGCAGACGAAAAGACAACAGATGTGTAACATCAGCGGCATCTCGCTAGTGTACAGAATGCTGACGCTGAAAGTGGAAAACTACTTTATGCTTTGAATACACTTTTTATTTAGCATTCATGGTGGTAGAGCAATTATTCCCCCCTTCTCTGGGGTCATTCCATGACAAATCACTTTTAACTCAGATAAAAAAAAAGCTATCAATGGTGTTTATGTTAATATTGTAAAAGATCACGATTTAAAATTGGATGTGCAGCTAGACTGGATCACCAGTTCTGACATTTCAAAGAGTAAGATTAAGAATCTGTGCACACAAACATTCCTATTCAGGAATATACAGAAAGTACCACATTGATGGCATTAAAATCATGATGTCTAACCATGAAAGAAAATCCCCCCCCCCCCATGTTAAAGACAACTCAGAAAAAAGGAAGAATAAAGCTTAAGATGTTCTCTAAACAATTCATTTCAGTTTTGATCTTCAAGATCATGAAATATTTGTTCTTCTACAAATATCTTTTATGGAATTTGATGTTTGACCATAACTATTCTAGGGTAGTCCACTCCCAATATTTAATAATTTAGCAAAAGTCTTTGTGAATTGTGAACCATTAATTAAGCATGCCAGATAATACTCTGGTTCCTGGATGTTGTCAAATTGCTCTGAATTTCAAACTATTATCAATCAAGCAGAAACTGACTTCCTGTATTTGCACCTCTGCCTGATTAAGTCAGTGTTTTTTAGCATACAAGTGTACAAGATACCATGAAATAAATCAGCCAGAAGTGCCAATACTGTGAATTTGAATTACACAAAGCTGTTGTGCATGACTCTCCTACCAGCAACACCGGTTTAATATTCCACTGTACTGTACTAATACAGTGAATAATCAAGAACTTTGTCTCACCTTTCTCAAATTACCTCACACAGAAAATAATGGTCCTCCTGCAATGTCATTAGTTTGGATCACAAGCTTTGGTTCAATTAAAACACTTCCAATAGATTCAGATAAACAGCTATGGACTAATTGACTCTCTGTGCTATCTTGACAGTTTCTGAGTAAGACCATTCATGCCCAGTGTACTATAGCACCAATTACTGCTATAGACTAGCAGATGTGAAGGCAAATGAATCTGCTGTTTTTCTCACTAAACTAATTTTCACCTCTGTGGGATGTCAGCCTGGAGTCACTGACAAGAGAGTTGTGTATACTGGGATCCTTCTGACAAGCTGCACTGGTAAATTCAGATTTCAGACTTCATACCAATCTTATGAACACTTTATAGAAAAGATAAGGATTGTGAAGCCCTGCCATTTGTGTACTCCGATTCTTATTCCAGTCGCACCTCAAACACTTCACCTAACCGAGTTCTTAATTAAATTAATAATTTGCTCAATTAGACCTCTTTCAACTGTTTGTGACAATTCTGATCTTGACATCTGTAAACATTTAAGAGAACAATAAATCAGCTTAAATCAGTAAGTTATCAATCCAACAAAGAATTCAATTAAGTCATTGGGAAATCAGTTTAAACACAAGACACTCCTGTGTTGAAGGACCAGGATGAATAGCCCTTCTTAAGGCCAAAAGTATTTTACTAACAACATCATCCAATTGGTAATGGTTTCATTAATAGCTGTGAAAACTGCATTTGAATTTTGTGCTTTTATGAAAGAGTACGATACAGTGCTCTCCAAATGTATTGGGACAGGAATATAAAAACTATTTTTGCTTTACAGTAAAACAATTAGCATTTGTAATCATGAAATGAATATGAATTATAGGTGCAATATAATATTTAAGTGTGTTTAAGTTTTGGCTAATTACATGCATACTTATTTATTATATTAGATGAAAACATACTCCATGTTCAACCTAGGGATTTCAATTGACCCTAAATACTGGAACACATTCGCTTAGGTAAATTTCAGTATAAAAGTCCGTATTTGGCTGCATATCCATCTGAGCCCACAACTGCATGAAGCTTGTGAGCCACTGAGCTCACCAACCTCTTTAATCATCTAAGATCCTTTACATAGCTTTCACAGCAAATATTTTGAATTGTTAGCCGTTTTTGGAGTGTTCAATTTTACATGTTTTGTGCAGTATGTTAAATCATGCTCAGTTGAATTTAAATCTCATCCCCTGTCTTCTCTCCCGATGAACTCCTTAGTTACACTATCGATATCTTTTGGGTCATTGTCATCCTGCACAGTGAAGCCTTGCGCAGTACAGTATTTGTTCTACATATGCTGTAAAAAATGCTTCTGTACACTTCAGAATTCATTCTACTGCTGCCATAGTTGCAATTTACGATTGACTGTAAAGAACAAGTAACAAATTTGACTTTACTTTGCCAATACTTTTGGGGACACTGTATATAAAATCCATGTATTAAAATAATGTTTTAAGAACAAGCATTTTAATAGTTTAATCGGAATTAAAGTTCAGATGAATTAGCCGCTACCAAACAAACATGCTAAAGGGTCTTAGGTCTTTTGTTCACAAAGTAACTTCGGGATGTTATATTAAATAATTGTTAACAATATACAGATCAACATTCTTAACAATTAGTAATAAAACAAATCAGTCAATACATCATTCACGTATGGTTTCATTACCCATTGCTCGCTGGTTGTGTTCTGTTCGCATGGCTGAGCTACAACTCGTAATGGGTTCACAGCCGATTTGATAGGAGTCCCGTATTGGTGTTTGGCTCCATCTATTGGACGTTCCTGGAACAGCAGCGGAGGCTTCTTCAATTGGGTGTAGCTGTTCTTCCCTTTACGGGGCATCAGAGGCCAGCCATGATCGCCCTTTGCATTAAAGAATGGATAGTTATATTCATTATTTATTAAAAATGGTGTAAATACCAATTAATACAACTTGAAGTAAATAGGCTGGTTAAGGGATTATTATAAAATTTAAAAAATATTTTGTAAAAAAGTGCAAAATGTACTCCCTTTAAATGACAAAAGGACTTATGACTTACAAAATATACAATACTTAGGCTATAAACACAAAAATGTTTAGATTTGTGGGCATTCTTCAGTAGGCAGGTAATTTGATTTTAGTAAAACATGGCAATAAGATTAAAGTAAATAGAGAATCGCCGGAGCACTCTGGACAATAAAGTACTAATCACTAATGATGTGTGTGCAGATCTCGATTTTCAAAGTCACTTAATTTCAGTAATATTATACTGGAAATAAGGAAGTAGGTATTGATGCCAGATGACGAGTGTAAGTGGGCCGAAAGAACTACTATAGTGAACATAATTGACAGTCACTCCACTTCCAGTTTCGGAATATAAAAACTACTAAACTCGCATCATTTTAGTGTTCGTGAAAGCTTGATAACGAATTAAACTAAAATACAATATTTGATAACCTTAGTCTGACACGCATACAACTAAAGGCTGAATACTCACGGCTCTATTGTCCAAAAAAGTATTCCCATGTATCAAACGATATCCACATTTCCGTTTCTAATTTTTCTTGTTTGATGTCCCTGTCTTGTGTGGCACAGTCCAAAGTGAAACCTGCCAGTCGCGCTGATTGGTCCGCTAAGGAATCGCGAATTGGCTTTCCCTGTCTCTCATTGGATGGTATCAGATCACATGACCGGAACGAACGTACCAGCGCCAAAATTCAAAATCCTACTGTGTCTGAATTAGAAAAAATTCAGGCTCGATATTTTTTAAAATGGTTGCGTAGAAACGTGTTGGAAATAATAACTATTTAATCAGTCTACAAAGGAATTGTTGCGTTTCGGCGCTGGAATCATAACTTCAAAAAGAACAGTCTTCTAATATGAAGGTAAGCTTTAAGTCATTGTGTAACTCGTAACGCTTTGTTATAAAATAATATGGAGGTCACACATTGCTCAGCGTAACAGATAATATACATATAGAAATTATGTTTTGGGGAAAAAATCACACTGAAAAAGAACCTGAAAGTTAACATCACATTCGTCTGTGTTTTCTGAAAAAGAAACTGTCTACTATAATGTGATGAGCGCGTACGCGTCTTAAGAACAAATAAAGGTTACAAATGAAAGCCACAAATAGTGTAAAGTAGGGCATTTTAACTTTTTTTCCGTTGCACAAACAAGTAGTAAACAATTACTGAATCAATTGAGAAACACAAACTAGAGGACACAAGTGAAGCTAAGGGGAAGTAGAACAGGAAGCACTTTTTACACAAACGTGTTGTGTGGGTCTGTAACAAGCCATTATGTTGAAGGTGATACACTAGCTTCGTTCAAGAAACCGCTTCACGAGATCCCGGGATCAATTAACTCCAATTCAAGCAATAAAACGAACTAATTATATAAGTATCTCAAGCAGATGGCTTTCTCTAGCTTGTCACAAGTCTTATGTTTTTAAAGTATCCTGCTCTCAACTCAGGGTTTGTTAAGGTGGTTCGTTGTCCTAGAAAGTACAGCAAACTGGGTAAAGCGGAGACATGACGGTTGTAAACCTCTCGACCACTGAATGATGGGTAGCCACACCTCTGTATATGTATTATTGCGATGTAATATACAATATTTTTAAAGCAAAACATGAGAATTTCGTTCACGTTTCCTGTGCGCGTCAGACCCTGCAACATTACTGCCGTTTTTATCGAGGACTTGCAGTAGGGGAGTCCGAAGGCATTTTGAATTGTAACTTCTTTAGGACAATTTGTGATGTCCATAAATAGAATCCGGCTGTAATCTAAACAAAAATATCTACTATTTTAAGAATTAATACGTCCAGATATTTAATCGGCACCCGATATTTTTGTACATAATAAGGAAACGCAGTCCCAAAATCAGTTTAACGGCTTTTCTGTTCCAGAAGACTGCACGTCACAAGAGAGGTGACATTTGAAACAGAATTTCAATCGTTACTAAAAGTCGCTTGTTGATTTCAATTTGAACGTGTCCTGTGACTAAATCAATCGAGGTTGTTTTCGTTTAATTAGCATCGTTCGGTTGGACTGATCTGTGCTCTCCTGGAAGTTCTTGTCCAAGTAATGATGCCTTTTGCTTAAAGCGCACCGAAAGACAAAGATAAGCAACGTCTCAGACCAATAGAACAGGAAATATACCCAGTGCGCAGCAGCTTTTCAGATATAGTACCGACGGTGGAGACAGGTAGCCTAGTCTTAAATTGTTCTTTTTGAAAGTTACTTGTTCAAGTCTTTTTGTTGTTCTCCCCAAATAGAATTTAAATACCAGATGCATTGTTTAACACTGTGATCGTAAATTGTTAGGATTAATTTTTAAATATTGCATTTTCTTACTTTTGATATGCACTCCCTTTTATTTAGTGAGAATGATTATTTGATTAATATCTGATTATGATGATTGATTATTAAGTCGTTCATTTAATTTATCCTGCGCCGTGTTTTACGAGTAGGTAAATCGCTGTGGGATTATGGGATTGCGAATTATTTGACACTTCCATGAAGTTCCGTGCACAAATTAAAGTCATTGTGCTGTTCTTAGAGGGGACAGCTTCATGGAGCTCCTCATTGTGTGTTTGTATTTTTGCAATCTACATTTATCGCACTAATTGCATATGATTGTATTCCAGATATAATAAAGTTAAATATGATCTTGATTTTGACATCTTTATTCTTTCTCAGGATTAGGATTTTAGAAGTGAAAAAAACTCCATATCTAAAGATTTTGTCTGATTGGAAGCCTATTTAATTGGCTGTGCTAAATGCCTTTTTTATTTTTTCAGAAAAATAAATTTTGCAGAGAGATTTTCAACATCAATACTGCCTGATCAGGATGAAAGAGAGCCCAAGGAGGCCCTTAATCCTTAAAAGGAGGAAGCTTGCCCTCTCTAAGAAGGAGGAAGAGGTTGGCAAGGATGAGCCTGATGGAGCAAAGCAGAAGTCAGACGCCTGCAGTGGACAGCAGTTCCCTGCCGGAATCCGGATCATGGATCACCCCTCCTTGCCCAACACACAAGTGGTAGTGATTCCAAAAACAGCCAATCTTCAGAGTGTCATAGGTGCCCTCACTGCCAAAGGGAAGGAATGTGGTGCACAAGGGCCCAATAAATTCATCCTGCTGAGCAGTGGAGGTGGAATAGAGGATGGGCCTGTATCCTCCAAACAAAGCCGTATTGTTGCTCCTGAGGGAGATGGGATTTCCCCAGTCCCCCTAGGTCCGTGTGGGCAGCTAGAGGTGATTAAAGAGCATCAGGGGGATGAGAAAAATCAGTCCACATCAATCATGCCTCTAACAGAAATAAAACCTAGTAAGTATTTCTTGGTGCAAGCTGTCAGTCAGCATGTTTCTTTTCTACAGCAGCAGCTGTTCTGTGATTGGGATTTCTTTCTCGGGCAGGAGAAAAAATTGCCAAGTTGTAGGGTTAAATAAAATAAGTGCCGGTTACCGTTTGAAGGTAATTTTGTGGAATTGAGTTAGTCATTATATACATGTAATGTTGAAATTCAATATTAAATCAAAACTGTTTTTTTTTCTAATGGATTTATTGGTCTGGGAAACTTCATTTATTGCCATATTAAACCGGTTCACTTTAAATATATTGCTTTCACCATGCTCTCAAACTAGGGAAACTTAAAGAGAACAGGTAAAGGTTTATTCCATGCTGAAAAGAAAAAGGTTTTGGCTGTGGAGCCTTCTTCTGGTGACGGAATTAAGGAATAAATCTTTTCCTTTGCAGCCCACACCTGCTGACGCAGCTAACTACATGAACTTCTTCAACCCATTTCCGCCACTACCCACTATGCCTTCCGCTACACTGTTTTCTAGATCTCTTTTATAATTCCTTCTCCTCCTCCCTGGGCTACTTGTGCCGTTCTTTCACTAAACTGGCATTCTGTCTCTTCACAGAGATCTCTTCCAAGAAGGCTTTCAAACTATCTCCTTTTCCTCTAGAGATTTTGGTTTTATAATATCATTCCTGAAGGATTTAGTCTGAAATTTAACACCTTTTCCTTTGACTTGGACACCACCCAGAGTAACATTCAGAGACTTCTTCAACAATTTTCAAAAAAACTAATGCTTTCAGCCATTTTCTCCCTCAAACAACAGCTAGCTCTTTCTGAATCAAAGAAACAAAGGAATTTGTATGGCTAACAGCTCCGCATTATCTTCCTTTTATAACTAACCTCATCAGATCCCACAACTCCACACCTGAAGAAGGCTTCAGAGCCAAAATGTCTCTTTTCCTTTCAGCATTGTTATTCCCCTTACTTGGTCCTTTGCAGCCTATGCATGCTGTCACAGCTACCTACTTGAGCTACTTAAAGAGAAAATTCTCTTCAAAGGGTTTCTAAAAATTGGAATTGCTTCAAATGTATTGTTTCTCTTTTTTCCAGTGAATAAGGAATCAGACTGCTCCCCGCTTGATGAAAGCCTCACTAATATCCATTGGCTGGGTGGAATGAGTAGTGATGGCTTACCACCTTGTGATGTTAATGAACAGTCAAGCAAGGAGAATCAAGATTCACAAATGTCCCAGGTGATTGTTCTACTATAACTAACACCTTTCATCCACTGTGCTATGGTTCAGTTTTATTTACTGAACAGTGTTCAATAAATTTGAATAACTAGAAGGTATTGGTTGACACTTGGTTCAAACATTCTGCCAAGGCCAGTGGATGTCAATACTTCTAAGTGTGTGACTCAGCGGGCAGTTCCTGTCCACAATGCTGTTGGAATTGACATCACAAGAGACATCACTAATGCTGCTTGTCTCACTGAGGTATCACTGAAGATAAACTGGCTAAAGTCTTCTTCGCAAAGATGTTTAGATATAGTCTTTAGACAATGTTTGCTGGATAAGAAGGCTAACTTTGTATTGAAAAGAGTGAACCAAAGGGACAGAATTTTGCATCTTAAGAGAAAATCGTTTAGTATCATCTTATGTAAATAGGCATTTTAGAATGTCTAGTTGAACAGATGCTGTGGATCAATGTTTCAATTGTAATTAGCTCTGGAAGCGAATTAACTAGTAGGTAATTTTGCTTATTTCTGATTGGGCAGTTTACGGGACATGGGCAGTTACGTGAATATGCTAAGGAGTTACATATGATACTCAAATGATATTCTATTCACGCTCAAATATCCACACTGTTGCATAATAATGAAGAAAATGTATTCAAGCAATCTATTTTCCCACACTGCTGTTCACATTTGTAGTGCTAAACCATCTTTCACAGAATTCCCTAGCCTTTACCAAATAGAGAACTTCTCTGTGAAAGCATGCAATGTACTGTTTAGTAAGGTAATAATGTCAGGTTTTTTATAGAAACTTCATTCATTAAGTTTTTGCTTCTCTCATGTAGGCAGTGAAAGAGAGTAAGGAGGAACATTCTCCTGTTAAGGACCCCTTCTTTGAGCGACCTCCTTACTCTTACATGGCTATGATCCAGTTTGCGATTAACAGCACAAAAAGCAAGCAGATGACCCTGAAAGAAATTTACACATGGATTGAGGTCCATTTTCCTTATTTCAGATATGTCGCCAAGCCAGGCTGGAAGGTAAATACAAATTCTGTTGCATGAGCAGGTTTGCAGATTCAGCAGTTCTGCTTTCTAATGAAGTGTTGTGCTGAGTACAAAGTTTGGTGTTCGTAATTGCGCCCTCAAAATAACTTGTAATTTGACTGAAATGGGGGGAGGGGAGTTGAACAAGTAATTGTTGGAACAATTTTCACAACACAGTTCAGGCACTAACCATTTCTAACTGGCATGGCAGATTTGGCAGGGTGATGCCAGTGCAGGGTGTGATTAGTTAGTCAGCATTTGCTCATGTGGCAGCTGTAGGTTTGCAGTGGTATCAGTAACAGATTCAACTCTAGCAGTGCTGTCAAATTCTACAATGTATGGAAACATGAGAAATCATAACAGGTGTGTTAGAGGAACCTGGCTGTGTACCTTTATTAAGAAAGTATTATCTGAAATCAATTGGTAGTTCCAAACTGGTTGAGTTATATATAATACAAAAAGCTGGTTATTCCAAATTATTGTAAATGAAATGAATGCCTCTATTCACAGTAAAAGAGAGCATGTTTCACCCCTGGCAAAGTCATGAAGACGTGCTATAGTCATTTTTTATTTAAGGTTTGATGCTGATGCATGATATAATTTAAATTAATATCTATATTTTAAGACTATTATAATAAGATTTTTGAGCTCTAAATAATAGTATTGTTGAGATTATCAAAGGCAAAAGGTACAGTATTTACATTGCTTTTACTAACCCCAAATGATTTTTGGAAGAAACAAATTGGAGTTTTTTTTAAATCCAGTAGAGACTAATAGCTTAAAATAGAACATGACTGAAAAACCTACTGTCATATAAATCCTTTTCTGGTTGTTGGAAAAAGATATACTACAGATATGAAGATATACTATAGTCATCCAGATATACTATACATATTGTTTAAAAAAATGTACATTGTTATTTTCATGGTATTTGACTTTGTCTTCTTTTATATTCTGATAGAATTCTATCCGCCACAATCTTTCTCTTCATGACATGTTCACACGAGAGACTTCTCCAGATGGCAGAATCTCCTACTGGACCATCCGACCAGAGGCAAATCGCTGCCTAACCTTGGAACAGGTGTATAAGGTTGGTATTCTTAGGGTTCTCTCTGCATTATGGTTCATTTCATCCACCCCATTGGTAGCTACTAACAAAATTAAAAAAAATTGTAAAGTTGCCATTTTAAAATGGGATTTAGCACAGAGGGCTCAGGTATGCTGAGCTTGTATATCAATTCTGCAGTGTACACTGAGTATGCAGTGCATAAAATGCCCCATTGTCTCTCTGATGATATAGCCATGCTATTTTCCACAAATTTCAGTTCCATATGCCTTGCAGATGGGGCATTTCTAGTGTCTTAAAGTTTCTACTGTCTTTCTGCTCTCGAGGGTATGTACTGTATGCAGAACATATTATACATGTACCTCTTCCCACAGTGGCTGTACCAATGCAATTGCTAGACATACTGTACTGTGCTTTTGCCTGGTGTACATGCTTTCTGTGCACTCCTTACACCTATACCTGCCTTCCATAATCTTCTGTGTATCATGTGAGCCTTTATGCCTTTTGGGTACATCTCCTGGGTATCAGTGTGTATTTTAAACCTGTGCCCCCTTGCACTTGATAGCTACTTTTTCTTAGCACCGCTTTGGAGACCACATTTCATCAGTGTACATCCTGGGGTTGGAGCCTGTCTCTGGAGGATAGTCATACCTGCTGATAGGGCTGCTTTCTCCCAGAGCGCATTCACCAGGAGGGCGATAATGGATGTTTCTGTGCAAGACATCCATGGTCTGAACCAAATAGTTTAAAAATGTTTACAAGTTTGTGTTGCTGTTATAACATTGTACATTTTATTCTAATTTCCCTTTTTTATTGTAACCATTATTGTTTTTCCTCGACCTTCTAATTGCTGCTGCATCCTGTGTTAAGGACAGGATTAGATATTCCCAGTTGCATTTTACAAGTATAATACTAGTGTATTGCTTTGCATTGCTTTGCGTTTCCTCATGGCACAGACAAAAATTGTTATTTTTGATATTTATACTACACTTTATATAGTTCTGCTATACATTTACCTCATCTTGAATTTGTGTAAATGCTTTGTGTTAGAGGGCACCACACAAATTACATTTATATTAAATGCTCAACCAAAAGAAAAAGCATGTTACTTCAAGAAGAAATAAAAACTGTTTGCTTTCCCCCCTGCACTGTTACATTGTACACATCTTGCTAGGTACATCTCATCTCTTATGAAAGTGATATTGATTCATTGACATGTAAAAACATAAGAGGTTACAAATGAAATATTTGGTTCATCTTGCTCATCCAGTAGTTCCTGCCCTGTGCTTATTCTAGAAGAATCTCTGAGTTGGTTCTTCAAGATGTGAGGTTTACTTCTTCTTATGCGTATACACTTTTATATCTCTGAAATCTATTCTTTCAGAAATATAAACTTTCTTTCCAAATTCCATTTGTGTTTCAACTACTTCATGTGTTTTTTTATTTTTATCATAAACCCCTTCAGCCAGTGGTGGAGCCAGCTGCACCCTCCCCAGTACAGACTGTGCAAGTCTGTGAGGAACAAGTAAGACTGTTTAATATTTAAAAAATCACTTTCATTTGTTTTTTTTGGTATGGTTTTATGATGATAGCTCCAGTGCAATCAGGTAAAGGAGGCATCTCTGTCTTTATACCAGTTCCCGAGCATCTAAAATACTGTGGTCCAAGATTAGTCTGATCACTGAGACTAAGAAACCTGTTTTTCTTTAAAAGGAGTTAACATGAAAGCAGCTGCAGGGAAAAGACAGGAAGTGCAAGCAAGGAGCAGGGTTTGTCAATTTAATTCAATGTTTGACAAATCTTTTTCCTATCCTAGAATCAGAGGCCTGTTGTAGCTGAGCCTAAAAAGGTCCAAGCCCCCAAACCTTCCAAAGCCCCTAGTGGTTCAGGTAAGTATGCTTCAGTGGCTCAAAGTATCTAGATCTTTTGCTTTCAGTGGACGGAGAGTATATGTGTGATTGGGATCCACGTTCATGGAGGTTAACTGGAAACATATATATTGGGATAAATAGTCTTGCGCATGTATGCTTTGAGTTGTGAACCCCACATGTCCCTGTGATTATGAGTGCAGTAGTCTAATCATTATTGCCTGTTGCTATTCCGTGGGTTTCCCTGTATTCCATGGGGAAACAGAGCGAGCAGGCTCCTGTGATCACTGCTGCTTTGTCAATATGTACTCTGTTGCTGACAGTTGTTAAACAGAACGCTTTAAAAAAGGCTATCAGAATGTTATACTCTAAATATTTTATTATCATTTCTTTAAACATTTGTTATTGCTAGAAATCACTCATATTTAAATGAAAGATTGAAATTAAAACTTGATATGTCTTTTACTTAGTTTTCACTGCTAAAGAGTGATACGGTTTGCACACAGTTTAACCACTGAGGTACTTTTATCTCACATGGGATTTAATCTTATATGTATAGTTTTGGGATTAACTGATTTGTTTATTTATCCTTTTAATCCCTGCAGTGTGCATGTAGATCTCACTACTCAGGCAGCAGAAAGTGTTTGGAGTATTTTCAGAATTTTTATATCTCAAACCTTTTTAAATTGATAGCAGGAACATATTTTGGAAATCTGTTTGTGATTATGTCCCAGGACACGATCAGTTCAGTGCTGTACAGTCAGATTGCCATCAAATCAGTACAAGTGAAGTTCTCAGGTGATTAGACACTCCTGCCAGATAATCACATCTGGAACTCCCTATTGATTGACCTGTTGTATACAACAATTGTTTTATCCTGCACATCTAAGCCATGCTCATTGAGGTTTGTAATGGTGATCTACAAAAAACCTGGATTCATAATTAAAGAGATATTGGCTTCATGCTGGCAAATCCACAAGCTGTTGTTCTGACATATCAAAGACAAAGCCACATAGATGTTCTATTGACAAGCAGAGCATATTGATTCTTTTGTGTTTTTCCTCACAAGATTTTTACAAAGTTGACCTTCAACAGGTTTAATCACCCCTTTTTACCTCGACCTATCTATTGAGTGGTTTGTTATAGAAATTTTGTGCACTTAATTTAAGGGCACAAAATTTACCACAGCAGAGGTTTTGAATGCAGTCATGACCTTTTTATTTTATTTTGTCTTGCATATATGCGTGTTAACTTTTTTAATTTTTTGCTTTGAACACTTGGAATAGGTAGTGTACCTTTTTGCTTCTATAAAATCATGACTGCAAACTTTAAAGCAACAAAAGTGCAAGGCTATAGATAGTTTTGCAAGGCACGATCTATATGCAGGAAGGGAAAATAGGTGTCGGTATACCTGATACATTAAATGAGAGTTGCGTCTTTGAGAAATATGTCTTTCTTATAGTCTTATGTCCAACCCTCATCCTTTGGTCTGGCTTTAAAAGTTCTGGTTATAAGTATAGGTATTTGTACATCAATTTGAAAACATTTATTCAATGGGGGACAGAAGGGTTGAAAGCCAAACATATGATAAATTACATTCTACAGACTACATTTATTGCATATACACACAATACTGAAGCTAAGAAACGGCATGTGGGATGCAATATGAGGCAAGGGTGTGGAAAGCAACCTTGCCATAGCAACACTTTGTAGTTTTTGGCTGCAACAATCAAGTCCCAGGGAGATATAGGACTATCGGGAGCCAATTTTTTGTTCGCTCCAGGTTGATTGGGTACAGCTGTCTTCTGTCGAGCCGTGTTGTATAAAAAGATGAGGCAAACTTTTGTTTGAGAATTGACCTGGTGCCTTGGGAGCAAGAAATCCAAAAGATAGACAAGATTTCAGAAGATAGATCCATAACCTAAAGGTAAAAGAGAACAAACCTTCTACAGAAGTGAAATGATTAAACATTGTCTTGGATAGTCCATTTAAAACCCTTCTTGTAGTTTAGATTCACAAATCAGGTTAATATTTTTCTTACCATGCTGGAACTGACCTTCTCTGGAAATGTAAACAAATGCTAAGAAACCAGTTAAAAACACCAATATCCACACCCAGACTATTCTTTTATACTAGAAACTAGACAAACTAGAAAGGACTCATTCAGGGGATGGGGGTAGTGAGGCTGTCAAAGGCAGAAAACATTGTCTAGGTTAGCAAACAATAGTTTGAGAACCTCTTCAATTGGGATTATGCTGAAATCTCACGTCTGTTCCCAATCAGCAAAAACATTTATGGAGGTGTTCGAACGGTGCTCTTAGCGCTGGAATGTCTATTATTAAAAAAATCTAAGGGCGAGATCCTGTGACTTTTGAGTATTGAAGATGTGTATGTGTACAACGTGAAAGTGATGGGTGGTGTTAGGGATGTACTGTAGCAATTGAAATTTAATTGAAATGCTAATTCTGGCTAGCTGGTATTTGTACAGGGTGCAGGAAGAGGCTCACTCAATAACTTGAATAGTGTAATAATCACTTAACCTTCATTTATGGTTTCATCCCGCTTTGCTCTGTTTCCATCCAAGACCCTATAAGCAAGATCAGATGGTGAATAAATTAATTTGCGAATGTTAAATTTGAACTTCGAGATCCTCACTGTATTTGTTTTACTGAATGTGTCCTTTAAGGTTTTTTTTAATCTAACCCATTTAGTTTGTAAGGGATCTAAGGGTAGGTTAAAGGGTGCATTGATTTGATTTCCAGAATTACAAAGAATTTTGTACTTAAGAATGGTGCAATTAATTAATATCAGTATTTAATTGATAATTTGTGATAGGTGATACAGTACATTTATCCATAATCATAACTATCCTCAGACCCTTGTTCAAAACAAATGCAAAAAGGGGACTATCCAGAAGAATGTGATCTTGTATTTTCTCACCTTTTTATATTAAAACAGAACAAAATAATATGCTTTTTGACATAAAACAATGATCTGATTTTAAATCTCTTTTTTCATAACTTATAGTACAGGTTTTTTTCTGGCTCTTTTCTACATGTAGAACTTTGTCTCCTAGCAGCCACAATCAAATTAAACAACAAACTAAATACATGATTCTCTGTAACACTAGTTACCCCTAAACAGCAACATCATAACTATGTACTTAGCTTTGCATGCAGCATAACACATCTGAAAATTGCATGGCGTTTGTACAGTTCAGTTAATATTTGATTGAAGCCTGCAAGTTAGATAAAAAAATTGGCAGGGGGTAAAAACTGTGGGAGCAGTTAATCTGCATAGACAATTCAACCATAATGTGTGCTCAGTCATCCCATTAGATTGTTCTGACTTCTCTTAGAGTTCTAGTTTATTTTTTCATCTCTTTCCTGGTGCGGATTTTCCCCTTCTATTAAATGTATACATGTATTTTCAAAAGTTACTTATTCCAAAACGTGTGTAATATGTCAGCCCCTAGCAGACAGTGAGTGGAAGGCCACCGTGGGGTAAATCATGTGACAATCCCTGTTACAATATGCTCAAGGATCTTTAAAATAGGTGGGTCCAGGACAACTGACTCATGTACACATCCGTGCTCCTTTATCTATATTGAGGGGAATCCAAATATACCACAAACAAAAAGGACAAAGCTCCTTTTTTGAGCTCCTGGCTAAACTTCTCCATAAAGTTCGGAACTATCATACCAGGCGGCTAAGAAAACTGGTGAGCACCTTTAAAACAAAAAATCAACAAAACTTTTGTGTCCACTGAGACTTTTCACAAATTTTCCAAAAACCCCAAAACATGTGGTTCAATTTAACAAAATCTCACTAAATATTCCAGTCTTCAGTTAGTCCTCTCTCTGGTAAGTGGAGTACGCAAGAGAACTGTCTTCTGTCCTGACATCATTCCAGCTAATTGATACAAGAAGCCTCTGCTTCCTGGTTTTTAAACAGTCAAGTGACCAGTTGTCTTCCAGTAGATGGTCAGGTGACTGAGAGCAGGAGCTCATTCCCCCAGAAAATCTGGGGAATGTAGTCCAGACTCAACTGTGCTCTCACTATTATTATTTCTAAACCAGTAATGTTGTAAATAAATATAATAAAATCACAATGTGACGATCTTCTTTAATTCTGATGTGGGAGTAAACGTTCCCTTTAAGTATGCCTATAGATCATGATAGATTTTTGATATACAGTTCTATGCCACTACTATCAATTTAGTCGATTTTCAGTTGCTCCTTTTAAGACCTTCTTGTGAATTCACCTCTATTTATCACGGAGATACAAGCTTTGAAGTGTATATATTTAAATGTTTTTTTCTTTTATCATACTTTTTCCCATCTGTTTTCATCCGACTTTTTCCCATCTGTTTTCATCCCATTTTCCCCCATTCTGTTACACCTGAATAGTTGTGGAACACGTCTGTGGCTTCTTACTACAAGCACATATGAACCGATTTAAACAAATGTCTTTTTCTCCAAACAGAGAGAAAGATGAAGCCTCTTTTACCTCGCACAGACTCCTACCTAGTACCAATTCAACTTCCACTCACCTCGCCACTCATCCTGCCTGCAACTCCACAGCTTCCCCTTTCACTTCCCATGGAGAATAGCAGCTCCACATCTGTCAACAGAAGTGGCAAGAAGGTTCGCATTGCTCCCAAGGTAAATATCAGCTGATGCTGCTCCCTTATCCAGTAAGAAAGATGAAAGCGTGCCAAAAGAATCTCTTTGTGTTATCCAATAGTAAACAGTCTAGTTTTATGATACTTTCAAAAGTGGTATTTGCCAAAGAAAGTGTTATCAGTCTTAAAGTGTCAAGTACTTTGATTTCATAGGATGAAAATGTTTTTTTTTTCTGAAACTGTTAAATCTTCTACCTTTTTTTTCCATTTTTACTGGAAAGAATAAAGTGGAAGATCACATAAGCAGTACTGACTGTTCAAGTTCTGATATCTAACATGATACCTCAATTTGAAAGAATTTAGTGGGTTATTTTTTTTTCTCTGGCCCATTCGTTCTTGATTCATAGAAATTAAACATTGGTCTGTATTTGTTTCTATTATGTTGTTTTCAAAGAATCTCTCTTTTGCAGGCCCCTGATCTTTCCAGTGTCCCTGTTTTCACACTTCCCCAGGTGGAGCCAAGAAAGGACAAAGAGCTCTGCATTAGTGACACTCAGACCCCAGAGGCCCAGTTGGACTGCCCACCCAGAGAGAGAAAGGAGACCAGTAGCTCCAGGAGAAAGCAGCGTCTAGTATTGCCTGGTTCAGAGGAACCTGTCATCCTCTTTCCAGAGACCAGCTTCTTTGACTCTGGGCTGGCCTCAGACCTTTCCACCTTCCATGAATCTCAAGAGCCTGACCTGGACAGCCCTGTGAAGAAGTACACCTTCAAAACACCAATCAAAGGTGGTCTGCCTGCCTCTTCCACTCCCAGCAAGACTGTCGTTGGAGAGCCACTGACCACTCAGGAACCTTGGAGAACAACGCCACTCAATAAAGGAAGCCATGGCGTACTGGACTTCAGCCCCATCCACACCCCTCGTGGAGTCACCCTCACCCCCCAGCAGGAGGACCAGACCCACTTCAGCTTCAACAGTACTCCATTCAAGGAGCTGCCTCTCTTCAACTCCCCACGAGAGCTACTGAACACTCTCTCGCCTGTGTCTCTGGCCCAGCCTCACTCCAGCTCCCCTGTCCCTGAGAGTGGCAAACTGAGGCGGTGTTCCCGGGAGCTGCAAGTGGAGACCCTAGGTACCAACCGCTCCCTCACAGAGGGTTTGGTTCTGGACACCATGAACGACAGTCTCAGTAAGATTCTAGTGGACATCAGCTTTACTGGGCTGGAGGAAGAAGATTTTGGCATGGGGAACATTAGCTGGTCTCAGCTGATCCCTGAGCTGAAGTAACTTCCACTTTAAATAAGCATCGTCAACGGAAAGCTTTCCAATAATTTGATTTAAGATTGTGAAAACAAGGAACTGTGCCTGTAGATTGCATTTTATTGTTAAGGCGTTGCTCAAAATCTTCCTCTCTTATGGAATTTTGCCTTCATTTGATCCTTTTGCCCTTTCTGTATGACTGATATTTTGTCTGATGAGCTTTGCAAGGCTGCTTTCCAGTTCACTGGGAACTTACTTCTATGCCATTGTCTTCAAATATCAGCTCACAATTTTACGTGGATTTCTCCATGTTCTCCATGATGGATATGACAAGTCAGTAAAACAAGCCACTTTCTGTATTTATCATTTGTGATTAATGAATGTACATAGAATCTTTTAGCTTTGATTTGCACACTGTACATTTTTATTTAGATATTCAATTGTAAATTAAAATATTACCTTATCTTCCAGTAATACACTACCATGCAAAATATTACTGCTGCTTAAGCTTGCTGTTTCTGTGTGTCAAGATTAAGTGTCCGTTCATGGAAGTATTCACTTTACTTTTAGCAGCATAAAACCAGAGGGTTTTTTAGGTTTTATTTTTATATAGCCTGTATTCTGAGTAATATTAATTAACAACAGCAGGGAAAAAACTAGAGGAGTTTTTTTAAGTTCTTACCTTGAAACAAGGTAAGAAGATGCATTTGTGTGGCTTCCATGGCTGCCCCCTTTAATGCATCCAGACAGGTACTAGAAGTCTGACTTCATACATTCAGGGGTCTGTAAAGGTTTATTGGATGCTGATCATTTTCTGCATGCAAAGAAACCTTTCTGACTAAGTGTACAAAAGAAAAAACGGGGTGATATTTTTTTAAGCGTATAACGGTTTGATAATTTGCTTTCCACAGTATTGTAATAGTATTTTTTCGTCATCATCATTGCAGCCTGAAGAAAACATTAAACCTGGCAACAGATTCCAATTAATTCTTTTTAATTCACTAGCTGTGTTTGTCCTAATCCTGTTTAATATTCACATCCTAAATGTAGTAGCTTTGCCTGGAGCCAAGGATAGCATCCTTTCAGCCACATGCTTGGTTTCCTAATGTATGTTAATAAATTAGCACTTAAAAACCATAAGGACTTTTTTTCAGGCTTAACACCTCAAGGACTGAAGTTTTGAATTGAATTTGAGTTTGTGATGCCCCTTAATACATTTGCTTTCTGTGACATCCCTTGTTCCTGATGTAGCATTTAACAAAGGAAAATCTTTTTCCTTTCCTTTATCTATTTTATTGGAGTTAATCATAATTTAATTTAAGTTGCCTATGCAAAGCTTTCATATAGAATATTTAAGCCCTTACGCAAATGATAGGACAACATTACATACACATTTGAATTAATTAATAATAATAATTGCTTACACTTATATAGCGCTTTTCTGGACACTCCGCTCAAAGCGCTTTACAGGTAATGGGGACTCCCCTCCACCACCACCAATGTGCAGCATCCACCTAGATGATGCGACGGCAGCCATAGTGCGCCAGAACGCTCACCACACATCAGCTATCTGTAGGGAGGAGAGCAGAGTAATGTAGTCAATTATTACGAGGCCATGATTGGTAAGGGCCAATGGAAAATTTGGCCAGGACACCGGGGTTACACCCCTCCTCTTTTCAAGAAATGCCCTGGGATTTTTAATGACCACAGAGAGTCAGGACCTTGGTTTTACGTCTCATCCGAATTGCCAAATATAGAGCAGTGGGTTTTAGAGTCTTTTGTCACATTTGTGTTATTGTTGATATATAATTTATAAGCAAAAAGCAAATACATATAATGTAAATTTCACTTCTGTTTTCTGCTAAATTAAAAAAAATGCAATTTCAGAGGTTTATAAAAATGAATATCTGAAGGAAAGACTGATGCTTTGTCTAGCAGCAGAATAAAGCTGTCAAATGGGGACTACAATTGCTAAAAATGTTTTGCAAAGCTTTTTTTTTACTTAATTTTGTTGTTTTTAAAAAAAAACAGAAATGGAGTGTGTGGTAAAGATTATTGGGAAAATATCTGCTCTATAAGAATCCCTGCAGGATTCTGTAAGGTTTGTTTTACACTAGTACAGTCACAGACATATTCATTGGCACCCCTTCAGCATCGCCAAAGATATAATCTGAGAATTAAAGAAGTTTGTCAAATTATACATTTCTTTGAACATTAGAGCTATATCAAGTTGACACACCAATGAAAACACCAATGTAAAGTCACTTAAAGGGAAATTCAGTCCCAATTTCTCAGACTGGTTATTAAAACGGCAACAAAATAAATTGACAAGGTATCGAAATTTTACAAATTCAGAATTCAGCACAAAATCATGAATTTTGTGAAAGTAATGTACAGTATACACCTTGTGGCGAGAACAAGGGTTTGCAACGCGTGAGAGTCGCTGTAATGACTAATGTAATGTGATATATGGGCGAGTAAGAACAGGTTGTACAGCAGACATTTCACCGCGGAAATTTCAACATGATCTGCATGTAGAGCTAACAAGTAAGTTGTATTTGCCATCAAAACTGTCTCAAAGTCAAGCTTAATATTTCTTTTGATCTAAGAGATGTATATTCAGAAGCCTGTTTTTTTATAATATAATAGGGCTGCTTCGCCTCACCAGATGTTCAGTTGCCTCATTCTAAATTGCAGAACATGGCTCTGTATACCTGGACATTTTGTCTATTTTATGATGTAAATAAGAGGTTTTACACAATACTGTGTACATTTTATGGCTGTTATGGTTTGAAATGGATTCATCAATGACAACTATTTTTAAATCCAAAATATAAAAGTAGGGCTGCTGTTCCTTTTTAATAGGGAGGTGGGTTACCACACAGTTTGTACAGGCTGTATGCAATGTGGCATAGAGGTCACCAGCATCTGGAATTCTGCTGTTCAAAAATGTTGCTCTAGAATGTCCTATAAATGCTTGATTTTGTTCAGATCTGGTGACTGAGAAGGCTATGACCTATGGGTAATCAATGTTGTGCTCATCAAACCATTGGGCGACCACATGTGTTACCCCTAGCCATTCCTGGCCAGAAAGAAATGCTGGAACGTGATGTGACAATAATCACTTAGTACCATTAAATAGCAATTAGCATTGATCTTGTCTTCTAAGAGAATGAATGCACCCAGTCCATACAATACAAATTTATAGAATTGCTAGAAATATGTGCTGTTTGAACCAAGCATTCAGGGCTGTATAGTTCTTTAGGTTAGCACCACATGTGCACTTGCTTGTACCTGTATGTTGATGGACATGATGAAGGATGATTCATCTGATTCATATTGCGTCTCATCCCTGTGTGGTATTCTGTTGCCTTTTATATTGGCCTTGACTTGAACATCATGCATTACCAGGTGTGAACGTTTTGCACATAGAACATCTCATCTAATTTAAAACTTCAAGCATGAATGCCTTTTTTAAATATCTTTAACAATTATAGTTTAACAATATTTACTAAACTGAATTCACTTGTGAATAACATTTTTGAAGACGGAGAAAGATATTTGACTGTATTAACAGGTTGGTGCCATCTTATGTCCTGCGAAGCAGAAAAAAGCATTGGCATGGTCTCTGATCACTGCCTAAATCAGTCCAGTGATCCCAGCTGCATAGATTTATGATTAATATGTTCACCATCATGACTTAAGAGGAACCCTTTAAAGAATCACTGCTGTAAGGCACTGCATTTGTACTGAAGCTGCACAAGATGGCAGTAAACCATAACTTAGCTTCAGAAGCAGTTTTGTTTATTACAACCTGAAGACACCCGTGAAACATTCAGCACTTTTTCATTTATCCCAAAGAATCATTTATGTAGAATTTTTTTTCTCTAATGTTCACTTCTGTCCACATCATTGTTTTTTCAAATGCATGTGACTGTATGTATGTCTGTCTTGAAGTAGGGATGGCCAGCCACAATTTTTTTTTTAATGGAACAGATGTTTGATCTTAATTTTAAAAGGTCTGCATTCAATGTATCACGACCAGATCTCCAGAGACTGCAAAACACTGAGTGGTTATGTACTTAACTTTAAAGTTGTTCCAAGCTCTTGCAGAAATCGATAATTCGAGGAGGACCTATAAAACCTGGATATCAGCTCTACAAGTCTGTCTATCCATTTCAATTAATCTTAGGTTTATATTTTCATTTATCTACTTCGAAGACAACATGTTCCTAAAGCCTTGTCTCTAATCCCAAATGCCAGTCTTGATTATGAGAAGCATTACTGTGGGCTCTAGTTAGCTTGTGTTTTATTAAAGCATATTGCAGAAACACATTTTTGTGTACATTCCAATGATACAATAAACAAAAAAGATGAGCAATTTAAAGTTTATAGTATTATGTACATTATCAACATCAACAATCAAATCTCAACACCTCTCTCTGTATAGTGAGTGATGCTTCACAACAAAACAGGCCTGATTTACATTTGTGTAGTTCCAAAGCATGGTATTTTTAATAATAATTTGTAAATGGATGTTTCTGATGATGAGTAAGACTGTAATTCCTTACACCAAGCTGGATCTAACAAAAACTCATTAAATTTACAGCATTAACTTGATGTGATGGATTTAGGTACAATTTTCATGTTATATGATATGTACTGCATCTGATGCCAGTAATTGCTTGACCTCATTTACAATAACCATATCTACTTTCTGACACTGGAAATGTACAAACTCTAGAAGTGGAAATGATTTTCATAACTAGTTTGGAGCAGAGGATAATACTGATTTCAGAAAAACTTTGTACAGCACTTTACTGTTCCAGTAAATACGTTTTTACATACTTTAATTCTCAATTTCACATTTTTAATTTTCAATTTTACAATTCATCCTTTTACCTAGTCTTATTTACTAAATAAAAAATCTGCAATTTTTCAGCATTCCAGTTCTATGAAATAGACAAGATTTTCAAAGCAATATTACACTGCTGCACTTTCTACTTGGTGATATGGAATCAGGATACACTAAAGACTACCTTGGTTGCTATAGGAACCAGTCTAGTTTGCAAACAGACTGCAGCCAGCGTAGTTTGTTAAGACATAAGGACTGAGCAAATTAATTTCTTTATTAAACAGGAATTTCTTTAAATAGCATTCAAGAAAAATTAAATTGCATGTCTGGCGTTAACCATGTTCACAAAATGCCTACAAACAAAACTTGGAGAACTAACATAAACTGATAAGGTACAGTATGTTTAGATTTCCCTTCACTGCCATTTGAATCTTTTCAGGCCTTTTCAGATTTGCTGATGAAAATTGCATGTATATTTCAGATGTGCACCAGGATAAGCAGGAATTACACAAATAGTAGAAGTAAATAACTTTTTTGAGCTGTGCTTGTACTGTATGTGATAAGCAGAAATGTGCAAATTTATTTTTTTAAGGATTATTATTGTAAGACATAGGT